CCCCTACAGGAATAATACCCATCCGTGTCAATTTAATCTTAAACGCAACCACGCAACGCCCTTTTGAACTTCAAAAATGTTGTTAAGTTTTATTTCTTATCCATCTTTGTTTAATCTCGTGGAAGCACGTCTTGTTCGAAGTTTGAAAGAAAATTATTTGGCACTTTTTTATTATAATTATTGACAGTAATTGGTATTTGTGATTTTGTTTCGTAGATTTTTCTGTCTACAGTTTTTAAAGGATTTTTATTGTAAAAACGAAAATATTTGGAGACTTTCTTTCATTTGTTTTATAGAGTTATTTTTAAGAAAAAATGATTAACTGAATTTTATAAAGCTTTCGATCACTATTTAATTTCTTCGAGCAAGTTAATACGGGTTTAGTTATCACCTGATGTATTTCAACTTGAACACAATAATTCTAGATAAAATAAAAGAACTCGAGCTATCCCTCATAATCAGTTGTTGCCTCAGATTTATATTTACTGATATGAAGTATCCTTCTTAAATCGCCAAAAACCTTAAAACATTTACTAAGCAAAACATAGTTTTGAGACAATATTACTTTTTATATCACACGACATCATGATGAATAAATGAAGCTAAAAAAAGGGACGACCGACAAAAAGTTTAGCTAAGGAACCCTTTACACAATGTTTTATACCTCTTTCTTTTGCCAATGATATTTTTAGTAACCATACGGAACTTTATTACGTTTATTCTGGGGTTGTAACTTTACGAATAAAATTTGTTAAAAATGTATTAGTTATTTAATTTTCTATTAAAAAAAACATCTAATTAATAAAAAAAAACAATATTAAAAGTAACAGCAAACTATTTAAAATAATCAGTTTTCATTTCATCATTTCATTTTTTTTACGGTTTCTATAAATAAATAGACTATAGAACTTCAAAACTCTCCATTATATTTGCCATTGTTCATTGCAAACAAGTCATTTAGACTTGTGGTAGCTTACCGAAAAGCCTTGCATTGTAGGGCATAAGCTGATAGAGGAAGATAAATCTCTAGTTAATTGAATCACTTTAAACAATGCAACTAATACACTTTATTTATAAAACAAGTATTACCAATAAAATTATTAATCAAAATCAGGCCAAAATAAACTAAAAGCAGAAAGACCCTTTCAACAGTAATAATATGACAAAAAAGATATTACCATAAGAGTAAATTGAAATCATCAATAAATTCTCCCTCTTTTTTAATTAAAAATGACCTTGAAAGTGATAAGTTATAACATGTACATTAGAACACCTAAAATAATGACCTTACTCCTAAACCCCATATACAAAACCAACCCATTTTGCAAACCCTTTAGCGCCACCAACCCGAAGTATAAAAATCATTTTGTATTATATTTACTTACTGTTCAAACGTGCCCACACATTTAAATTTTCAGAGAACAAACGTGGTTTGGAAAACGTTGTAAGCAGCTTATCTTTTTGGTTGGTTTATAAATAACAACCGGGAGAGGGTTATGTAACTTTCGGTGACCAGCAATAATGAGACGTAATGGCTCGTATTAAAATGTGAAATTGTTTGCCAATAAATTGGAGAAGGAAAATGAGACAGTGTTTCATTTGTTATAGTTCGGTTCTTCGGAAAATTTTCGTTATCATTGGCAAAATTGTCTTTATTTTTTTTTCTAGGGTAGTTTTAATTTTACTATCACTATATGGAAGAAAAGTCGTATACTATCCTCTAAGCACATTAACAACATCCATTTTATAACACGTTTTGGCCAAAGAATAAAGAAAACAGAAAATTGCATCAATTTCCCGGTATTGCCAAATAAGCCGTAAGAGCAAAAGAAAGCTTTTCTCCACAAAAGACTTACTAAAATACACCCCATAATGAAATAATTAGTTCCTTATTATCATGCCCTCATCAGTCAATTAATTAGACCCTGCCACTGAGAAGATAAGAAACTTGAAGAATTATTAATAACTGAGGAAAGTCGTTTACCGTAACTGCTAATACTTCTTCAAGAACTTATGACGTCATCATTAAGGCCTTATATTGAGGAAAATCACGTGTTTTAACATTCTAATTAATTTTGTCAAAAGTTAGCCCTAAGGAAGATCATAAGGTCGCTACGCTATATGTTTTTCAAATATGTTTTTGTTTAGCGTAAAAATATGTGTAGAGAAGAGATTTTTCCGGTCATTTTACGAACATATAAATAAATCATTGAGCAGTGAATTATTACCAATGAACCTTCAAATGTTCATAGGTAATTGTTCATCTCTGAAATCCTGCGCGGTCGAATCGACCCCTGTGTTACGAGGCTACATTTTAGAGAAAGGACTTCAAAATATAAATTGTGCCTGAATTGCGTTCGAACAGAACGTTTCATTTTCATTAACGTATCATTTTGTATCTCATGAACAGCTGCAGGAAACGTGTTAATGTGGTGCTTACTGAGCTGTTAAATTAACAATGTTAATGCTAGTTTCTGATATCACTCTGTCAGTCAATTTAATATTGAATTGATTCGCTCGCCTCTTTTTCTCATTTTGTAAAGGTTTAAGTAGAAATGACAATAGAAATGAGAAATGTGCAAATTACATAAGCATTATCTAACAAAAGACATGAGACCTTTTGATGAAAATATGTTAGTCACGTCAAAACTTGATCTTATAATATTTAAGTACATTGAGTAAATTTAACTATTGAATAAAAAAGATTTTCAGTATCGAACTTTACTGGTAAATAACACGTCTACAATAAATTTTAATTACACGATACATCGTTATTTTCAAAGGCTCAAGTACATCTAAGTTCTAGTGACCTTTCTTGACCTTTATGGAAACTAATTAAGCGTATTACTGGGCGTTAATTTATTATTAATTTTGAGCTCTATTTTTATTAACGGAGCTGGCTATTTTAAACAAAAACTTGAGTAAGAGAATTTATGATGATCCTAGCACTTGTTTCATATATGTATACAGTTAATGACCTTGGATTATCGAAAGGTTTTTTAACAGATCGTCAATTTCTTCTGTAAGCAGGAATTGAGAAAGCCTCACCACACCACATCTCTTGTACAATCTCTTAGACAAACCTAAGAGTCCGTAAAATCAAATATTCAAATTACTTATCTATCACGCGGATCTTTTTAGGCTCTAACTAGATATTTTGTTCAACAAGACGTCAGAAAGTTTAATGATACCGTAGACTTCTAATCATCTAAAACACACAAAGGTTCGTCTAGTTTTAAGACCGCTAAAGTGTGGAAATAAACTGAAACATATCTGAAAATCAAATTTACTATCACACTCTGTGTGCGTGCCGGATCCTATATTTGAGGCCTAACTCACAACATGGGGACGTAAGCTGATTACGTATAAAGAACATTTTAGATTACTCTGTGAATATATTATGTAAACGATGTACATACTTTTCGTATTTCTTAAAGAAATCTAAATAAATAAACAGGTACATAATAGTGCTACATAAAATTGGCGTAGCTGATACGTATGCTTAATGAAACTAATATGACACGAATTTCATTCATTTTTTCAAATGGTTCTTGACTATTCGACACAGTTCCTGAGTGCAATATTTAAATAACAAATTGGTGTTAAGCTGTTTCCGTTATTTCTTGTAACAGAGAAAAAGAGGATGGAATTTAAAAATGCTGTAATAAGGGCTGGAGTTTTTCGATTGAGTGTCTTATGCCTATCTTGTTAGAAGATATTTTAGCACTAAATGATTATACATTGGCGATGCTATCGCCAATGTAAAATGTTTTATGGAAAAAAATGTCATTAGCAATCATATTCTTATGTCTTTGAAAGGAAAATAAGAAATTGTATAGAAGTTCCTGCTTCTCATTTTATCAACGTTTAAACGAGGCGTTGGCCTTGAAAATGATTACTTTAAAATATTCCAGCCTTCCCGATTCAAATGAATGGAAGATTCCGTACTGTGATCGAATTACATATTCTCATTAAGGATTGAGATTCAAGTCTTTGATAGACAGATGGAAATTAATACGAAGCATTATTTCTTATCGAGAATCAAGGAAAATATATTGAACAATTTTCATAATAAAATTCCTTTTCTATCAGGAAACATGGATGACCTGATTATCGCGATGAACCAATTTTCAATATTGGACTGTAATACAATATTACGAAAGTAATTACAAGCCTATTACTGCGCATTAAGAGCTTAATTAGTTTGATACTTAGAAAATGCGTTTAAACGTTAGACGACTTCTTCATATATTCCTTTGTGGTGGCATTCAAAGTTTACTGACACAGTAACGATAGCGAAAATATATTTTAAGAATTTAATTTCAGATAAAGATTGCGATATAAACCTATTTGCGCGCTACGGAAGCTGTGATTTTCACAACTAATATTAATAATTCTCCGGCGTAGCGCTCACGTAGCCTATATCGTAGCAGGTGCTACGAATCGACTACGCTCACGATAGTTTGAATGAAACTTCGTAACGATATTAAACGGTATAACTAGGCAGCTCTAATCGTACTAGTAGTTTATAAAGTGCTAAGTTACTATCTAGGCGGCAATACGATAGACCTCGGAAGTTTTCTTTATACGATCCTCGCCGAACAATGTATAGAAATATTACTTGAAGCGTTTAATATACTACGTCCAACATAATTTTAGTTTAGAATTCTAGAATTCCAAAGAAAATAATGTGAAAGTTCACACGCCACATAACTTCATTGAATATATTTACGCGGGCAATTACCGACACAACATTTTTTAATCTATAAAAAGCTTTTCTCCTATATTGTATAGACCTATAGTGTTGCCACTAAAAAGCTTTTCCCATTACCGTCGTTACATAATTGATTAACTAATTACACTACACGGACGGCAAACCGCCGTCACGTCGAATTATGAATTCCTCACGTGGCTCGATTACAATGTATGATAAACGGACACTTCACATCACTATCACATGGGTTTTGTTTACCACAGGATAGGGCACCTAGTATGTACGGTTACGGGATATGGGTAGGTTCGCGTTGGGCGGTCGGGCCGCCACGCGCGGCCGGCTGTGTTGTGAGACCGGCGGAGGACGCATCTAACACTGTGAACGCGGCCGGCCGGGCTCCTCGCGCCCGTTGCACTGCTGCGCGCGCCGCCGCTGCCGCCGCCGGCGCCCGCTCGATATCCGCGCCGCGCCCCACACAACTCATTATACCACCTGTGAGCACCGTCAAAACACCGCGCCATGGTTTTCGTGAGATCAGGCCCGCGTCGTAAACATGCACCGCCGTATTATAGTCAGCGTTAGGGGGTTGAAACACGTTCACAGATCTAACAGTAAAGGTGTCGTTCAGAGTTTGCAAGAATTTCGCCCGGCAACTTCCCGATTCGTTTATCATGAAATGAAATTCATTAGAATCGATCAAAAGTTTTGCTTTTGAGTATGTGTTACGTTTATTTAAATAACCTCGTTTATATCAACATAATGACAGACATTAGGATATTAAAAATACTTTTAACTTTATCCTTAGTTACTTTTTATTGCAATAGCTGAGTAATAAAAAATCCTATCAAGCGTGTGGCAAAGAGAAAATGTGGCGAGCGGCTGTGGATATAAAATCAGATCAGTCTTGTTCGCGGATGGTTAAAAAAGCTTCTGCGGCGTATTGGTCCGATCAATTAATTTAAATTCGTTAATTTTTGCGAGAGATGGATTTCAATAACCGCTAGAGTTAAATGTGTATCTGCTGAAATGTGGACAATGGATGCATATTTTGCACAAGTTATTTTTTATAATAAAGCAATGTATAAGTTTTTATAAAAGAAGGTTCATATACATGATATAGTTAAATTTTAATAATATCAAGGCGAAAAAAAGGAAAATAGGCAAGAATAAACAGACATTGTCAAACGGGAAATGATTTCCCATTCTTTCACAGCCAAACAACATATTATATAGCTCCATAAAATTAAAGATGAGCACGATGTATGAAATATAACGTAAGTATATCGGAAATGTGAATAGAATGTTCTTTTGCGTAACATTGCATGACGATTTCACACAAACTATAGTTTCATAATGCTACTTCTAACTTCGAAATCGAGTGAATATTGGGCTCGAGCAAAATCTTGCGATTGGAATATGTGATATAATCGATTCTTATTCAAATTCTGTGGTTGTTAACGCAGTTTTAGAAGACAAGTTCTCGATTAAAGATCGCTAATGGGTGGCTTGAGTGTGTTTTCTTGAGGAGTGATAAAGGTAGCAGTGGAAACTTACATACGACCTATCGAGTCCTGTGTATGTAAGTCAATTGAAGAAAAAGATACGGTAACACTTCGTATCCTTCATAGAAAAGAAGCCTTACTCAGAAAAGAAGTTATTTTATCTTAAAAATTAATGTCAACAATATAAGGTTCAATTTTGAAATGCCCTATTTTATAAGTTAGTTCAGTTTTCTATTGAACATGCGATTTATTAACCCGTGATATGCTGGAATGCAGATCCACGCGAGACATAATGTATTTTCTATTGTTTGTCATATACCGGCAGACAAGAGTTTAAGGATATCCCACAGTCGAACCATTACAACGATTTTGTGGGGCTTAGCACATAAGATGGCTATCTTTGTGATATAAAAAAAAATAACAACTTTAATAATGTGTTTATATACACTGTGCTAGTCTAGGACACATGTATTTATACAGAGAAAAATAATAATTGAAATAAGCTATGCATGAAAATGACGAGTTCGGATCCTTGAGATTTTTTACTATCAAATATTTAGTATCTAGTTATAATTAGTTTTATATAATATGTCATTTTTAGATCTATGTACATGCTGAGCATGACAATAAGTAAACTAATTCTTTTGCAATATTCTAGTTACTTTTTTTAGGAGATAATAAAAGTCACGCTAAGTTAAAACTTTTCATATCATGTTTAAGTAAATGCCATATCAACAACTAAAGTTCAACATCTAACGTAAGTTTCATATCATTTTATATCATAAGTTGACTATAAAAAATAACTCTGAATGTACAAAAGTACTCGTTCGTCTAAGGCGTGACGTGCAAAAGGCTTAAGTCTCTATTCTAAGGAGTACTCTTTACTCCCTCCTCCGTTCCCCTCGAGTGCTATAAAAGGTGAATATAGGATTGTGTCAAGAGTATAGTCCCCGTATTTTATTGTTTACTACCCATACCAACTATCTTACTGCTGAGGATGATTTTGGTAATAATTTTCTTAGGCCATAAAGACTTTATGGATAGATAATAATAGCAATAGTTTTGAGAATAGAAATGATAGGTAAGAGTAAATTCATTGTAGTATTTTCACAATAAAAGTGGTCAATGACCTTGGTTCGGTTCTAAGTAAAGACATGTAATAAATAATAAATTGTCAAGTGATTTCTCAATAATCAGAAATAAAAGTCTACTAAAAAGAAAGCTTTTCGAAAAGTAAAAAATACACATCGTTTCGAAAGGCCTTCACATGATTGTCAACGGGAAACGTGCCAACAAGGCTGGCAATTATAAAACCTTCTAAATGACCGGATAATTACAATTTCCCAGTACAAATTAAAAACAAACATGATATTTCGTAATTACTGACCTAAAACCCTAGCCTAACTCATTCACTTTCAATTAATATGACGATCAGTCCACATCATCAAGTTTCACATTTGTGCAATGAAAATTGAACGGCAATAATAAGCTAACTTCATGAACGTGCAAATGTCACATGTTTGGAGGTGTTAATTTTCTAATCCAATTGACTTCGGTTGCATTTCTGTTTGTTAGAGACCTGTACGGTAATTTGAACTTAATATCAATGCAATTTGGTATAGTATTCAATACAATTAAAAATGGTAATGACAATATGACTTTAAATTGTGAAATAAATAGGAACCCGCTCGTTTCAACATAATCATCATTATAAAAATATAATTCGCAAAACTTATTTAAAATTGTATAAGATTGAGTTAAAAGAATGTTTGCGAATAGGTACTTCTCAATCTACAGGAAAGTACAAAAATAGATCAGGCATCTGTCAAACCTTCTCAAAATATATTTCACTGTTAATCTGTGACATTTCAACTGAAGTATTTACTTAGGTTTCAATTTGAAACCAGAATTTGTAAGAAAAAAGTATGATTCAAAGAGTTCATAATTAAAATGTAGTATTATAATGAGAATTGAAAACGATGATTACTTGTTATCTATGATATGTTTTTCTTTCGGTATTTCAACTCGATTTTTCGACCAAAAAGTTTCTTAATGGGTTTTCTGGTTCTAATATTGATTTTGTTAGTTATGAGCACGTTGCAGTTTAGGAATTGGAGAAGATTGGGTCTCCAGAAGCCTCTCTATATGGTATGGTATATGGTAATTTCGGTATCGATATGTTATATGTATCTATCCGTTTATTTACTGTGAGGCCGCGGTATCACTCTGGCCGAACCGAAGCATTACTTTCCTACTCTTAATGTTACAAACAAAGTATAGAATATTCTGTGTGTAAACTTAAAAAAGGCGTTTTCTTTTAAAATTAGTTTGAAGCATGTCTAGAAGACCTATAGAAAGCATTGTCAATTTAAAATAATAGTTTTATTTTTATTTTGTAAGACATATAGTTTTTACTGCATGTAAAACAGTTTAATTTGTCAGATACAAACTTTTGATATATTTTTTTTAAACTTTAAACTTTTCTAACCAGTAAACATTGATAAGTACCCTACTGATCAATGTTTACTGGTGTTGTCTTTACACTTTTATTTGAATAATTTAAATCTAGAATATATACAATCCTTTATCGTACATTATAGGTGTATTAAATTTAAATAACATTGTCTAGTCTAGAAATAGGACGAATGTAATTAATACTAGTGCTTAAACACTAATTGGTTATACTCTGATCCCGTTGGGGGTCGTTTATATAATGTTGTAATTATTATATACGTAACACATAGATAATCATGTAGTTACTATGTTGAAAACTATTTTGTTGTCTTTCAGTTAACATAAAATTAAAAAAGGAATGATGAGTTCCATTTTTCTTTTGTAAACTTAACCGTCGCCTATTTGAAAATAGAATGTTTTATGTTCAGTTTTAAATATTGTTGGGCGCATGGACGTTAGTGTGACTAGGTGGCTGCAAGGTTTCTTGCATTACATTCTCGAGTTGGGAGAGGCATCGCTATGTTTTCGAAAATTGCTCAGTAATATAGGAATAAGCTAACACCTAATAAGTACATAAGTAGATCTCAAAAAACGCAAAAACAAAACATATATATAAAGGGCTTAATGGTATTAATATTAAAAGTACTATGTAAACTATTATGTGCTTACATGATAATTTTATATTACGTATGATGCAAAGTCCTGTTTCGTTGGAGAATTGAGCTTGCAACACTTAGTACAACAGCCTGTTGCCAAGCCACTGAGCCAACCGTGCAGTGGATTGCATTGAAAATAAACAAAATCAACAGGCATCTTTCTATAAAAAGAACACCATGGTTCTGCATTATTTTTATTACATAGTTCGTTCACAAATACTATGAACACGGAAGCTTGCCAAATTCGCTAATGTTAAAATCACATTTATTTGCTAGCTAAACTGTTATGGTCGAAAGTTTTAAAAACCAACATGGTGCTGGTGAGGTTTTTTTAAAACACATTTTTATGCGTAACACACAGATGGCATAGTACCGGTTTTGTGGGGAAATGTACCTACTGAAATAATATAAAAATATATACCTACATTTTAATAATTATTACTTCATAAAAAAGAATCTGTTAAGGTTTTTGGTTATTTTCATAAAAAAGATTGTGCGTCTCGCCTGCGCTAGTACATAGCCTTACGTAATCGTTCAATTTGCTGAAGACGGTGCACATGAATAAGATTCCCGTTCTTATTTGAACCTAGTCGAGATTTTCTCAGTTAGGTTACGTTAGCCTTAATAATCTTTAAAAAAAATGTATCGCAAAATTGTAAGTGTTGGTAAGCCCATAACTCAACAACGCCTGGACCAATTTTGCTAATTCTTTTTCTATCGTGTTTTATATTGTCAGGAGAAGGTTCTTATCAAAGAAAATATTAGAAAAATAGATGGAAAGATTAGGAAAAAGCGACCCTTTGATAGCGAGATAGTTGGACCCGTGCGAAGCGGGGGCGGGCCGCTAGTTTTCTAATAAAAGTCATTATAATATCATGCTTACTTACACTTCTATTAAAATTAAAGCGACACACGTTCACCAACGTAACCTGCTAAACATCCCAAACGTGCGCCATTATAATAACTATTTATGACGTCACAGTTTGCGAAGGCTTCCTATCTAAATAGGTTACGTAAGAGATACCTATGTTGCCTAGTGTTGTATTAAAGTTTATAACACT